CTTGGAGATTCATTGATATTATGGAAGAGTAAGAAACAAGATGTTGTCTTCCGATCTTCTAAAGAATCTGAGTATCGAGCCATGGCTATTGCCACTTGTGAGATTGCTTGGTTGAGATAGCTTCTTGTAGATATGAGCATTTATATCTCTCAACCTACCCCTTTTTATTGTGACAACTAAAGTGCGATAATGATTGTCAAGAATTCAGTGTTTCATAAGCACACAAAACACATTGAGATTGATAGTCATTTCAGACAACATCATCTCCAGAATGACATTATCTCCCTTCCTTATGTTCCTTCTACTCTGTAGATTGTTGATATTCTTAAGAAGCCATTAACCGCTCCTTGCTTTTATTTTATGTCTGACAAACTCTCAATGTTTATTGTTGTTGCATTGTGAGTTTGAAGGGGGATGTTAGTCTAATAAGATTTTAAGCTTTATTGTGTATTGAGTTTTATGTTAACCCATTAGAAAACTCTAATTAGCTAGTCTATATATTATATTTTTGTTTTCTTTCATTGCATATTGCAAGGTTGCAGAAAACGCTTGACGTAGGCTCGGCGGTGGACTGGGGTCAAAGGATTAATCGGTTAGGCGAAGATCAATCGGAGACCATTAATTATTAAACAATTATTAAAAAATTAGTAAATCTACCGAATAATAAATATGTAATACACAATTAATTTTTGTTTTTCATTTGTACCTTCACATAAAAACCCACTTGAAAATAAACCCAAAACATAGAACATAATTAGCCATTATTTGCAACATGACATTCTTAATTACGAGACTTTTTCCACAATAATGATATAACAAAATGAAGCAAACCTCTCATAAATCTTTAAAAATTTTGTGAAAAAAAAAATTAAAAATAACATACATCATTTCTAACAATAGATGTAAGTTTGGATTATTTGGTGCCTTTAGTGATACATTCTTTGTATTTGATATATAGTTGTCCTGTCCCTCTATCTTTCCATGCATCTTTATCTATTGAATCACTTTGACTTAAATAAATAGATACCGGTCTCTTTATTCTTTTTCACAGATGGACTACTTGGCTACTCAACATCATTCTCTGTTAAATCTAAACATAAATAACAAAATCACATACTATTTATTACAAAAGATAGAGCAAATAATATTCCATGTCTTATTACCTCCATCTACATCTTTTTTGAAGCATTAGGCTTTATAAAAATTGTACTTTGTCCACCTGCGAGAAGGAAAATGAAACAACTTAGAAATGTTCAACAATATAAGATACCACACGACATACTAACTGAAAATAACACCTACCAAATGAAAAAGAAGATTGATTGTTGAAGAGAGGACCAATTTTCCATGAGGTCGTGAAACCTAAAGTTGCAAACATTTGAACCATAATTTGGCTAACATCGTCGTTTCACACATAAAACTTCATTTAGACATTTTATTGAACACCTGGCGAGCAAGAAGAAGAAGTGTCCGATTGCACTAGGGAGACTTTATAAATTTACCTACGTATATCCTTGAAGAAGATGGAGCAGCTGCTGGAAATAAGGCCGATTAATTAACCCTCTAACACATATTCGTAGGCGGTTGGTGACCGCCAAGCACTTAGGCGCCGATTAATCGGCTGCCTAGATCGATTTTTACAACACTGGCATATTGTATTTCTCATTTAATAATAATATAAAACCCTAGTCGCTTTGTGTCTTTTAGTTTAGTCCTTCCATGAAACGTGTATACCTTCCATGTCAATAATAAAGAGAAACATGACCAAGAGATTACCTTGTCTGACACCACATTTAATATCAAAATTTTTAGTTGGCGAACCATTAACTAACACCGAGGCCCTACTAGAAGATAGACAACCTCTACTAATCCACCTTCTCAACTTCCATCCAAGCTCAATTTGCTCCATGACCGAATCCAAAAACTCTCAACATAAAGAATCAAAAACCTTATCGAAGTCGACTTTAAAAATAAGAGTTTTTTCTTCGCTTTTTGGCCCAAGCAACAATTTCATAAAGCAAAAAAGTTCATTCAAAATACTTCTATCCCCATATGGGGAGTTATAATCTTATCCGACACCTTTTTCAATCTATTGACAAATAATTTGGAGATCTCTAATGAGTAAACAAACATAATTAAAATAACATAATATGGAACAATTAGACAAGTTTTGGGTTTGTTCAGAAACAACTCGAACTTGCACCGACAAAATTCATATCATTAATAAACTATGATGATATTAATTAATGTGCTAGACAAATTAATATTTAAACTTGAATTGAATTATTGTGTTTAATGAATTATGATAGACAAAAAAAAAAAGAAGTTTTTTCATCATAGTATCTTATAAGAGTATATTCACTAGAATTTGATGAAAAATAAAACAAAAAACAACATAATATTGTTTAAATATTAACAGTCTTAATAGCTTTTGGAAAAACTAATTTATCTGTTAATTTTTGTATTTCCAAATATAATTTTTTTATAAACTCTAAAAATAAACTAATGAATTTGCACCAACATGACATTAAAAAATATTTTAAAAGTACATGCTCATTTAAAAGGTTTTTGGTAACTTATTATTAAATAAATTTTAATAAAAATCGATTTAAGAAAAATAATAAACCTTTGCAAATATCGACTTTAAAAAATAGAAATTAAGAGATTATTATAATGTTTTTTATTGATTGATATATTTTACAAACAGAAATGAATATGAGATTATTACTAGATAAAATAATAAAGATGTGAACGAATGACCATATCATAGAATATTATTGAGAAAAAATAACGTGGATATATATATATATATATACATATATATATATATATATACATATATATATATATATATATATATATATATATATATATATATATATATATATATATATATATATATATATATATATATATATATATATATATATATTGAAGGGTGTGGGAATCACATGGCTTATTGGTTTTAGTGGACGAGAGATGGCCATGTAATAAGACCAACAATTTGAAAGCAAAATTTCATGATCGGCCGGCTAATATAAACCACCCACCAAATCACTCCTGTCCCCCAACCATGTTTTTTCTTTTGTTTAATACTTCACTTTCCAAAAGAATAAACAAAAATATGTAGAAGCTCTTTATCTTTATTATTAATTTTTTCTTGAAAGGAAGAAATTATTTATCTTAAGGTGTTTGGATTTTGTTATTAAATAACTCAACATCGAGTTACCAATCAAAACTTAAAAAAACACATGGTTTTTTAATGTTTCAATAAATTAAGTAACTTAATAGTATAAAAAATCAGAATACTTATACGAAATATATAAAGACATATGGGTTATAGTATTAAGTTTGTCTATTCAAAAAATCATATGCCTTTATACATTCTATATTAAGTTTTTTGATTGGTTCCTTAAAAAATAAAAATTAAAAAATTTATTATGTTCATTTTCTATCTATCTGTTTGGTTCAGATAGATAGAAGCTGGACATGATAAATCTCTCAATTACCCTTATCCATCTGTTCGAAGAAGTAATAAACTTTTTTCTCTACATGATCCTCCGTTCTAAATGTCTAAATCCGAGAAGGGCGTCCATATCCACAAGGATTTGCATCATCAACTATCTTCTTTATTGATCTCGAGTTGGACATCAACGATTGAGAGGATGAAGAAATAACCATTACAGGAGATCGAGTAAAGACGTCATTTATTTTTCTCTTTTGCAAGCCCTAAATCGATATATAAAGGGTAATTCCAATATGTTTATTCCATACTATTGAATATAATATCATGTCATTTGCCAATTAATTGTATACCTAATGAATCTGGTTGTCTTTAATGAGAATTGAACAAAATCGTAAGTTTGTTGAGTTTTTTTGAACAAAATGTTAAGTTCGTTGGGTTTTTTTGAACAGATAAAACATGATTGAAGTTTTTGAACGTTTTGAAACTTCGTTTGGCTTACGAGTCATTTTCCTTTAATCCCACATCATAAGCCATATCATCCATTGACTTTCAATACCTGGTTGACTGTAATGAGAATTGAACAAAAACGTAAGTTAGTTGAGTTTTTTTAAACAAAATATTAAATTTATTGAGTTTTCTTAAACAGATAAAACATAATTAGGATTTGTGATACAACTTAATATCCAATGATTTTCAATAGAGAGTGGAACAAACTTTTTCTTTTGGTTTAAACATTGAAAATTTGATTTTTTTTTTTTTTTTTAATATTAAACCAAAATAATTTCACACTACAACGGTTTTACGAAATATGACATTAGACGTGTTTAACACAGAGCTTTTGAAAGCTTTTGAGAGCTTTTAACTTTTAAGTTTTGACAAAATGCTCTTGTTTAAATAAAAAACTTCGTTTGGTAGTATGAACGTTGATATTTTAGTTTAAACAAAACGTTCAAAATTTAAAAGATACTTCTTGTAACGTTTAACAAAACACTACTAGCTTTTGAAATCAGTTTCCATAACTATCCTAAAAAATCTATTTATCTATATATTTATTTTTAATCAATTGTCTTTTTATGTGATTTTATATATTTCAAAAGTTTCCAGCTATTTTTGTCAAACACTTATAAAACAAATAAAAACTACAGTTTTTCGTTACCAACTACCATGCTATCAGATACCAACTACCCGTTAACCGCTTCCAGTTAACAGTTACTTTTGCTAAAGACGCCATTTATAATATTTCAAAACTATAAAACCTATTTATAGCGACTTTAATCGTTTATTTTCCATATTTTTAACACATATAGCTAATATCAACTTGAACAAAATATTTAGATGTACATATCCATAACACACGACTGATCACTGGATATGACTCATTAATTACATTACAATTTACAATAAAATAATATAATATAATACATTTGTTCCAATTATGAAATATTAAATAGATTTATATTTATATTTTCTATCATTTTTTAGTTTTAATAGTCTTTACAATTACAATATTAAATTATATATTTCCCCAAACCGATGCACATCTACCCCTCCTTTTAAAAATGTGATAGAAATATCAACCCGGAGAATACTTGGATACGGTGGTGTTATAAAGTAATTGGAATTTCGCCGGAAAAACAAAACTCCGGTACCGGAATGAAGAGGTGTGAGCTGTGCAGCCACTTTGCTCAGATGTACTGCCAATCCGATAACGCTAGCCTCTGTTACGACTGCGATCAAAACGTTCACTCGGCCAATTTTCTAGTAGCCAAACACTCCCGAACTCTCCTCTGCCATAAATGTCAATCTCCGACTCCCTGGAACGCTTCCGGCGTCAATCTCGGTCGCACAGCCTCCGTATGTGTTAACTGTCTTGACGAACATCCATCTCAACGGCGAGTGTTGCAGGAAGGTGATACTAATCTCCGTGGAAACGATGTCGTAGAGGAGAATTGTGATGTACATGATGAGGATGAAGACGGAGATACAGACGACGACGATACAGAATCAAGCGATGAGAGTGAAGATGAGGATGAGGATGAAGATGAAGATGCAGAGAATCAGGTGGTTCCGTTGTCGTCAGCCGCGTCGCCACCTGCCACCGGTTCTTCGAGCAGTGAGGAATTTTCTTCAAGTAGACTCTCATCTGATGGTTTTAGATCCGCATCTAAACGAGAACGCCTGGATCCTTGTATCGATTCTGAGGTTCGCCTTTCAGCCTTTCTCTTTCTCTTTCACTTTATCATCACCGAAGTGTTGTTTCGATAACCGTTTTGGAAATTCTAAAAGCATGTAAAGAATGCGTTGCAGGACGATACACCATGTTCATCGGAAAAATCCAGCAGTAAAAGGAGGACGGAGATTGATGATGCTATTGCATTAGGATATTTCAGGCCATCAAATAGAATCGAAGATCGTGGTGAAGCGTAAAAATGGATGATCGGAAATGGTTTAATTATCGATCCAGGTTTGCTGGCAACGATTATGACGACGAATCTCCGTCGTCTTTTGGAGATTAAAACCGAGCAATCGACACTGTTATAGATGTGATTGCCTGATTGAATCTTCTTCTATTGATTCAATTCAAGTTGAACAAATCTCCAGTTTCACCAGCGCTCTTAAATTTCTTACACTGCTTTCTTCGTACACAGTTTCAAGAAGAGGCCACTGGGTATGATCTTTTGATGCCATTTCTCCTAGAAATCCAGTTGAAATCATGCTTTGTTATTTTATATTATATTTGTAAGTTTTATGATTGATGATTTTTTCACCAAAAAGTTCTTATACCCAACAAGTTGTAAGGGGTTGGCATTATTCAATACAATGGATTCATCAATTCAAATCAATGTTCAAATCTACACATATTCATAGAACAGGGTCAAGTATAAAACGATGGAATCACCAGCTAATTTGCAAGGTATGTATTTTGACTTTCATTAATGTGCACAAATGTTATAGACATGTAAATTGTAATCAATTTGTGGCTGAATATGGTGTATTTTTAGGGACATTGAAATTGTTCTTGATCATGTGTTAAAATGTTGTATAGATTGAATTGAACTGTGAATCTGCATAAATGGATTTTATTTCACTATGAATGATCTTGGAGCTCAAAGCTGGAAAATGCCTCTGAATTATTGATCTTGAAGAAAGAAAGCTTAGAGGTGTATGAACTTGATCACCTTCTTTCATTTTAACTACAATGGAGTAATACAGAACAATTTTGAAGTCAATGTATGAAGCTCTATGATTCTATAATTTCTTTGATCTATAGTATTGTTACTGTATTGTTCACTGTTCTTCAAAATACATTATCGTCTATGATTTGTTGTATATGGAGGATAATTGAAGTAGAGTACGAATGTTTGATAAAACTGTATCATTTGGTGCTTAATGAGAATGTTTGATAAAACTGTATCATTTGGTGCTTAATGATTATAACGTCTTAATCGTTCAAAGGTTTTTGTTGGATCAAGTCATCAAAGTTAAAACAAAAGCAATTAATACAAAGAGGGGATTTTTTTTTAAAAAATTTTTACCCAAGGTTTTTATCTAGAAAAAATCTATAATTTACAACCAAAATTTGGATAAATTCAGTAAGAATTATGTGAAATCCATATGCTAAGGGGGTGTTTGGCTTATGGGCCAAAAGTTCTTTTTGGAAAATATAGAATGCAAAAGATCTTTGGTAAAAACATTTTAAAAGCTACTTTGGATTTTAGATATAAGGAAAAGTAACTTTTTGGAAAAGTCATGAAATACTGATTTTTTTGTAACTTTTGCCAAAAAAACTTTTGGTTCCCGATAAACCAAACACCCCTAAATCGAATTATATAGAAGTCGAATATAAAAAATGAATCCGATGGGCCATGTGCACCTCTAGGTGGGGGTGAGGGTTCATTTCTAAATAATAATGTAATTGACTCATTTTTTTTTTGTTATTTCATGTTGTATATGTACAACATATCATTATATTATATCATTATATTGATGAAAATATATTTAACATACAGGAGATTTTTGGATAGATCTTATATAGAAATTTAGAAAATGAAGTAGTTGATGAAATGATTATTGTCCCTGCAATTACATATTCAGCATGGTTAAGTGTTTTAAATAACCACTCCATAATTAAAAAAAACAAAGATCAGTTAAAGAAAATACAAAATAGGTAGGTCACTAGATTAGAGAGTGCAGCCAGTATTAGAGTCCATGAAGTATCATCATCCACATAAATCGATAAATAACTAAGCACCTGAAATATATAAATAAATAAATGTCAAGATTATTGTCGAGAAATAATTATATAAGATTGCAGTGTTGAAACTTAAAAACACTCATTCGCATTGCATTTTTCTTCTTGTTGCAAGGCATCCCACCAACCTCGTATCTATAACAAAAAAAAGTTAAAAATCATTTCTAATATATAATTATAGGAATGTACAATGCTATTTTTGATATTTGATGATAAGAAAATCAAGATCACCGTGTCATTATCGTGAGTTCCAGTATATACAACTTGATTTTGCTCATGATTGTGAGGCAGATGAGGGTTTGCTGAATCACTTCCGAAACCTATTTGTATGTATATATATATATATATATATATATATATATATATATATATATATATATATATATATATATATGTATTAATGAATATTTTATAAATATAAATTATGGAAATAAGTGAACAAGTAAAAAAAAAAAATTAGTACCAAAATTAAGAACCATCCTGGTGCACCAATGGATTTTCTGAGCTGGACTACATCATTTGTTATAACTCCCTGTCATTCCCAAAAATATTTAACTTTTTTATATATATGTTTCCTTTTATTTGCTATAAAAATGAAAATACTTTCATACCCAAAAATATTTAACTTTTTTATATATATGTTTCCTTTTATTTGCTATAAAAATGAAAATACTTTCATACCAAGTCTTCTGCTATGATGTTGATCTTCCCAACTATTCAAAAAGTTGCATCGAATAAAGATCTTTCCACCTACTATCAACAAAAAAATTCACTTAGAGAGTTTGTTGACAACTGATATTTGAGAAGAAAAAAAACTTACAACATCAACGACCATTCTTAAACGTTGTCTAATATCTCAAGAGTCACCACTAGAACATAAAAAAGGCTTCCCCTAATTAGAATATATGTAAATTAAAGTTGGTTGGGAATCCTTGCACTAATTTTTGTAAAGAAATTATGCATTTATTTGCTAACATGATGTCATATTATAGTTTTGTAAAGATCTTTTAAATAATTACCGGGGTAGTAATTCTGTGACCATGACAAGTTTATCTTGTGAACATAGAGATCCCATAAAAAGTAACTGTGACATCTCCTTTTTCACAACCAGAAAAGATCGATTTTGTTTATGCTTTATAAACATCAGAGTACCTCCAAAAATGTTGCGGAAATTGTTCCCACTAATACATGCTAAATATGTATCAAAGAGTTTTCCGAAACATTTGGGATGTCATCTTCAATACAGAAACATAAGTATAAACAACTTACATTCATTATCGCAAGTGATTTATATCTCCTTAATCTCTCAGTGTAATGTGGCTTCATATCCACACTTGTGATATCAATAAACTGAGTGGGTCAGGTTGGGAAACCTGGTGAGTACATAGGGTTTTCAACCCTCAATAATATAATTATTATGTTTAATCATCAAACAGTTATCTCAATTACCCATCCCCATTATCTTCTGTAGTCTTAAAGATCTACCCTAAGAATCAACTATTTCTCATTCATTCATTCCTAAGGATTATCCTAAGAAATCGACACGAAGTCCATCGTTGCCACAGTTTACACAACAGACACTAAGTCTACATAGTCGCTAGGGTTTAGGCACCAAGTCTGCATGGTCACCAGGGTTTAGGCATCAAGTATGCATGATCGCCAAGGTTTAGGCACTAATTTTTCATAGTCACCAGGGTTTAGGCATCAAGTCTGCATGATCGCCAAGATTTAGAGGACACCGGGTGAACACATCGTTCACAACACCTATAGGTTGCGAGCCTGCTAGTGTTCCACTGGACTATCTAGAATAGTCTGTGGTTGTCATCCATACTCTGCTAGATGATGGGGCCTACATTGGGGAACAAGGCTTCTCACATCGTCCACCTCTCACCCTTACCTCATGGTCTATATCACATCTCAACACATCATCCATCTCATATTTCATCTACCCATGTTTTATCCAACATATTATGTAGATATAAATAAGTATACAGTTTAAATCATATAAAACTTGTATAAAATCGTTCATCCAACATAGATAGCAATTATACAGATAATATGCACACATAGCACACAATTTATATAAAATACTTCATATTGATGTGTAAGATGAAAGGGACCGTACACTTACCTGAGAATGTGGTAACTTGGCACTCGAACAACACTTCCTTACTCTTAACACAATTTTCCTCGGACAAAACCTAGTATCATTACCACTAGAATTTAGTCTAATATTCACCGAGACTAATTAATAGTCTGACTCTTATTACTATTATATAAGCGTTAAACAGTACTTATATAACCCATAATAATAGTCAAATTACTTATTATAAGTTCCTAATAATGTTACTACAATTAAATAAAAGATATATAAAAATAGTGTATGTGTAGCTCATTTACAACAGGTTTTATAGAAAATCGGGCTTCACTTGGAGCAGCGTTTCTGAGCTGAAAAGCTCTTCTTCTCGGAGCCTTCTGGTGCTACGGGACTTGCCTCTATCACTTGGAAGTTTCTAGGGATTGGGGAGGAGATGTTTGGTGTATTGAGAGAGAAAGAAGGGTGGAGGTGTGAGTTTTGGGAGTGATTTACGCCTCTATTTATAGGCTGAGTTCGGTGCGAACGCAGCGCGTTCACAAAACGAACGCATCGTGTTCGTGAATCCAGCGTGTTCCCTAGACGAACGCAACGTGTTCGTTGCCATGTGTCGCCATCTTGTTCCAAGCCGTGGGGAAGAAGGTGTGGCCCAAATTGTGCCACGTGTCACTCGCAGATTACCTTACAAACTAGTTATCTTCTAAAATCCGTACCTTTCGCATACGAGCTCCATTTTTTACGTTCTTTATGTCCACCCGTAGGCGGGACCGAACTATACAACTTTAGTTTAGACTCTGTCGGCTAATTTTGAATTTATTTTTAAAGTTATATTTTTAACATGCCGGGACATGAATAGTCCATTAAAAATTCATAACTTCTTCATCTGATGTCCGTTTTCGTCTGTCTTTTTACCGTTGTGCTACTATTAACAAGATCTTCGATTCTTATTTAGGTTGTGTTGGCCGAAAACTGTTCAAATGAAAATTCGAGTTTCGGGTCGTGCACTGTTATGCCAAATCTTAGAAAATTCATAACTTCCTCATACGAAGTCAGATTTGGGCGTTCTTTTTTTTTTTTTTTTTTATATTTGTATATTTTCGGTTTAACATATACTACAAATTTTGTTTATATCACTAAGGCTAAAAAGTCCTCCATCATAAATTTACTATTTACGTCTCCCGGTGCCGTGCCAGTTTTGCCGAAAAACTTTGACGGACCATAACTTCTTTGTTATAACTCGGATTTTGGCGTTCTTTATATGTACGGAACCCTTGTAACATATATTACAACTTGATTAAGGTTATTTATTCTAAATAATCTTTTGTCGAAAAATCGTTTTTGTAACGCCCGTAGATCCGGGCTAATCAATTTAGAGATAATAGGGGTCGAAAATGATTTTTTCACAAAGGATTATTGAGAATAAATAATATTAACCAAGTTGTAGAATATGTATCAAGGGTTTCTTACATATAAAGAGAACCGAAATCCGAGTTATAATGGAGACTTATGACCCGTCGAAGTTTCACGACGGAACCAACACGACACCAGGAAGACGTAAATAGTGAGTTTATGATAGAGAGATTTTTAGCCTTAGTAATATAAATGAAAGTCGTAGAATATGTTAACATGAGAGCATCCATAAAAAAAACGCCCAAATCTGACTTTGCATGAGGAAGTCATGATTTTTCGAAGTTTCAGCTTAGCAGTGTACGACCTGAAACTCGAATTTTAGTTCGAGCGGTTTTTGGCCTACGTGACATAAAAGAGAGTTGAATATCTCATTAATAGGAAATCAACGGTAAAAATACAGACGAAAACGGAGTCCGTATGAAGGAGTTACGAATTCTTCACAGTCATTTAACAATCTAATCTCCTCGTACTGTTAAATTTATGATTGGTCAAGAATTAGCCGCCGGAGTTAAAATGAAAGTTGTAGATCTTGTTTTTACCTATGCGTGTATATAAAGAACATAAAAAATGGAGTTCGTATGCAAAAGTTATGAATTTATGAAAATCGGCTGATTTCCACCCTATGTGCGATGCCACGTGTCAGCACCAGGCTGTGCCTGGATGTAGCCAGACTGGCTCA